TCATGGATACATTCGCAACACGTGTCCATACCATCGCAGCTCTGATATTTCAGTCTGAAGAAACGGCGGTTATACACCCAGGCTCTCTTGTACCCGGAATCGAAGTTTTTCAATCATGGTCGTAGATAAGCGCGGTGAGGAAGATCGATTTGAATACCGAAAACTCAATCTTCAGAGTCAGCTATGCTTTAGTCGCAATGGCTAAGCACGGTTCGCGCAGAACGCCTCTGTCTACGCCAGTCCGCCACTATCACTTCTTCAAATTTTTCATCACCATTGAACATAAACCCGAGGTTCTTGAACGTCTCCACCAGCTCTATTGCTTCTCCGCTTATTTGAAGAGAGAAACGGGCAGGAGTACGAGAAAACTCTATGTTTTTCGGTTTCGGTTGCGAACCTCTCGAGAGACCGCTGGGGATGAATTCCAGGAGATGCCAAAAAATATGGTCGTCTTCAAAGTGCAATCTTCTCGTCTTGACATCTACGCTGCATCGCCCAGACCGCGCCTGACTATTCCATCCATGTACAACCAAAAAGGAGAGAGGTCGGAATGCAGCGTTAGTGGAGATCAGTTCCAACGCTGAAATGTCTGGTCTTAGCGCCATTTACTCTGACGCAGCACTTGCTGTCAGCATATTTTGATTGGATGGCCCAGAACAACTAGCATATTTTTGCAGGCATTCCCGTTGACTGTTGCGCGGGATCCAGTCATAAGCTTTCTCTCGGTTCACAAGGCACGTATACTCGGGATGAGCGAAGAACCACAATTTCTCAACAGTGTGGCGTACAGCGAATATCTGGTGACGTGTGCTTCGGCCGAACCGAAAGCCGCACTGCTTTTCGTGTATCATAGAGTCAGCTATTCCGCGCACTTACTTTCTAGCTCCTTCGCGTAGACTTTATTCTGTAGGCTCAACAAGGCAATGCTCCGTTCTTGAACAGGAGTACTACACCTTCTTTTCTCCACTCCTCTGACATTTTCCCAGTAGCCACTGCAGTTTGACAGACTCGTAACAAGTCAACAGATGCCTTTTCCTATTGTTTAGAGCATTTCAAGGCTGATTTAATCTGTTCATACAGCTTTTCCACTTTTCAAGCTTTGCACAGTTTGTGATTTCATCTAAGAAATAGTAATATCCTTTACCGGTTGCACTACAGACGAGTCTTCCTGCGCTTGCTCTGAGTTCAAGAGTTTTTCATAGTACTTTCGCAACACTCTCTCAGTCATTGAAGAATGTCCGCATTCTCGATAGGAAGGTGTTCATACCTGTCCTTCAAGACTCAGACTGCCCTTCTTTTCACCTCGTAGCCGGCGGATGGTTTGCCAGAATACATTCTTGACTATGTAGAAATTTCACTCCAACACCGCACCGGAATCAGGAATCAGCTTTTGCTTTCGCTTCCACCTTGGGCGCTTCTACTTTCCGCATAGGAGTAGAAGGTTCTTTGCATCAAGCCATTTCTTGAATGCAGTCTTCTTCACTTTAACTGCTAGTACCTCTCGTGTTCACAAGGAGCTTTTCTCTGACCTCCAAGCAGCAGGTCAGCCCACTTGAAACCACAGCATTTAGTGGCAGGCCCGGTTACACTGCTCTTTTGGAGCTCCCACTCGGTTTCCACCTCAGCGGTCATATCTGGGATCTGTTCAAACCGTCTTGCGATATTGTTTGCAAGCCTCAATCGCATATCCGCCGAAGATAATATTTTCTGTTTGACTGTGTTGTTGCTTCTGCCACCAAGTCATTGTATTGTAGTCCATTTCTCACAGCGTACTATTCCAACAACTAGGTGGTGATCGGTTGACAGCTCTGCGCCTCTTAGCCCTAACTTCCATTACAGAGCGTCGTAAGTCAGGCGATGCGATTATCAAATCGACCATCAGTTTCGGTGCACAAGCTTTTCTCTATCAGGTATATTGATGCACTCTTCGATGCTCGAAGAAGGGGTTCATAATAGACAGTACATTGTTTTCACAAAACCACAACAACTTCATGCCGTTATTGTTGAGGTCGCTACGGCCGTTATTTCCAGTCGCGCCTTTCCACTTTTCAGTGTCTGCTCTGACATGTGCATTGAAATCTGCCATTGGAATTAGAGACTCGTAGTCGGCTCTTCGTATGGGGCACATTCAACTTCTTTTAGGAAGGACCCACATTCCCCCTCTAAATCAGACGCATAGACCTGTAACAAGGTCAACGCTTTGGCCTATTGTAGCTTCTGTTGGAAGATTACCACCCTTTCGCTGACAGGCTTCCATTCAGTGATTCTATCAATCAGGTTGGATTCTACCAGAACACCAGCATCAGCCTGAGCGCGCGCGTGATATCGACGCCTGAGTAGAATGGCTTCCACTCGCATAGGTCCAGGGTTCCAGAGCCTTGGCGCTTCGTTGACGAGAGTCCAACTATGTCGAGTTGGCGCTTTGCGGCCTCATCGACTGACTCCTGTTCTTTCCCTCTGAGTGAGGATATGTTCAAGTGTTAACTCCCACTGGCGGTGTCGTTTTAGCGTTGACCCTTTTTTGACCTGCTGTAATGAGATCGCGACGTCTCCTGCTCCGTTCAGGTCGGGTAGCGGCTCCGTTCCTGATTGGTATCTTCGTCGTTGTTTCGTCAATTTTCGGCAGCCGTTGATG